TTCATATTTTCCAGGGCCAGAGAGTGGCTGAGCTCATCCTGCAGCATGCCCGGGCCAGCCAGTGCCGGGACGTGGAGGGCTTCAAGGCCGAAATGGCTGCGCTGGTGAGCCAGGCCAGGAAAAACACCATCACCCTGGAGAAGGTGGGTACTCACCCCAGGAAAGGGCCTTGGAGTACCCACAGTCCTTGCCTTTGGACAGACAAGTCCAGGTCTCAGAGAGACCTCTCTGTGGGGAGAGCTCTCAGGGGTGTGGTTTAAGGCTCACAAAGAGCATACCTCCCAGAGTCGGCAGGTCACTGACATCAGCTCTCAGGAGCGACCCCTGGGTCAGCTTCTCCCAGGGAGGATTGCAATCTGCGGGATTGCAGAGTAGTACCCACCCTCTTGTCAGGTGAGGGGCAACTGTGGTCCCTGAGCAGCCAAACACCTGCCTCAGGTATATGTTCCTTATTTAGGCCTGACCCAGAGCCCACTTCGCATTTTACACCCAACTGTAAGAAATTCAGCTGTTTTCGTTCAAATTCGTGGCCTGCCTTATCAGCATCCAGTCAGGATGAGGAATGTCCCAGCCCTGCTCCAGGGACCTGAGTCTATGTGGGTGTGGAGCTTTCGGAGCTGTGTCCTCACGGGTGTGTGGATGGGAGTGGGAGTGGCTGTGTGGCTGTCGGGGAGAGGGTGCGGGGCGAGGCCCTGGAAGGGAAGGAAGTGGTTTGGAAGGCCCCACGGTCCACACCACATGGTTGTTTTCCAGCTGCACGTTTCCAGCCTTCTCTCCAGTGTCTTTAAGCTGCTGATGACTCACAAGGTGAGGACCTGGTGGAGGAGAAGTCTCTGGGGACGCGGTGGGGGCACGGGTGGAGGGTGACACAAGTTAGCACTGAGTCTGTGCAGCGCCAGGTGCTGGCTGTGGCCTGACAGTCCTAGGGGCCTTTCCTGATAACACCATGCGTTTGCGGACCCACCCTGTGAAGTCCCTGCGGCCTCAGTACCTGCGACCATGGAAAAGCACATGTAGAAATGCCAGGATGGTCCCTCAGGCCTGCTGTGCCTGTACCTTTTCCCCCTTGGATGTTCCCGATTCTTGGTGTTAGTGGGAGTCATGTTTGGCCCCATCTGGAGTCAGGCAGAGCCTGGGGTTAGGGTGCTGCCCAGGGAAGGACCCCTGCCCAGTGCATCCATGTCCATGATAGGGTGGACGGAGCTGGTCTGCATGGCCACCCTGTCCCTGAGGGAGGCTGCCCGAGCTTGGGCGGGCCTGTCTCTCTGCAATGCAGTGTGGCTACACGGCCCACAGTGGTGAGGGCAGAGAAGGCTGAGGGTCCACGGTGTGTGTCGAGACACTTTCTGGGAAAGGCTGCCTCTGGCACGATCCTAGCACAGAGTGAAAGGAGCTCATTGCCTGGCCTAGTGTCTTCTCCCATGACGGCACAATGGGCACTCGGCTCTACATTAGCTGTGTGCTGGGGCTGCCCCAGTATGCAGGCGGGATGGGGCTCCCCAGGGCTGCTGCAGACGGGTGACCAATCTCACCTCCATGTCAGGACAGCCCCAGGTCAGGGGCTCCCAGGGTAATCTCCCTACCAAGACCCTGCAGCCAAATCCCTCTACCCACAGATCAATAGCTCCGAGCTTGCCTCTCCACCAGCCCCTGGTAGCCACCATTCTGCTTCCCATTCCATGCCTCTGACTAGGTTCTCAGATAGGTAGAACCATATGGTATATCACCCTTTGGTGACTGGCTTGTTTCACTTAGCATGATGTCCTCCAGTTTCTCACGTGTTGTAGCACGTGATAGTAGTTTCTTCTCTTTTAAGGCCCGAGTAATATTCCATTGTATATAACTACCACATTTAATCTATTCACCCATGGAGGAACACTTGGGTCGCTTCCACCTCTTGGCTACTGAGAATAGTGCTGCCGGGAGCATGGGGTTACGAACCACTCTTCAAGATTATGCTTTCAATTTTTCATATGTACGAGGGGTCTTTATAAAGTTCATGGAAAATGCATACTATCAAAATATTCTAGGACCAAAAATAAATTAGTACTTCGATTCTATTTTCCCATGGACTTTTGAAGTCTCCTCATATACCAAGAAGTGGGATTGCTGGATCATATGGTACCTTTTTAGTTTTTAAGAAACTCCATATTGTTTTCTTTTTTAAAGAGTTATTTTTACTTTTTATTTATTTATTATTTTTAATTTAACCAAAGACACAGAAAGAGGAAGTGAGAAAGTAAGCCAGTCCAGAACTCAAACCGTGGCTGGCCACATGGAGTCCAGCAGCACCCTTAACCACCACACCACCAGCCCTCGCGTTGTTTTCTATAGCAGCCGCACCACTTTACATCCCCAGGTGTTCAGGGCTTCTGATCTCTCCATGTGCCTGCTAACACTTGCTATTTTCTGTGTTTTTGTTATTGTTTTTTGTAGTGGCCATCCTAATGGGTGTGAAGTGATAACCATTATGGTTTTGAATGCATTTCTTAATTTTTTTATTTTAATTTTTTACTTTTGCTATAGAGCATGTGTACTTGCAATAGAGAAACAGAAGGAAAGTGAAAAATTACCCCCCGGGGGTAATTTTTGAATTCCCTGGGAGGGAGTAATTTTCCTTTTGAGATTTTGGGCATGCATGCACATGCACCCAACATAGTTTTGTTTTTAATAATTATTTTAATTTAATTTATTTATTTTAAACTTGACCAGAGGAAAGAGCGAGAGAGAGAGAGAGAAAGTGAGAAAGCAAGCCGCCAGGTCCAGGACTCAAACTGCAGTTGGCCATGTGGGAGTTCCGTGCCCCCAACCCCCCCACCCCCAGCATGTTTTTAAAGCAGCTGGGTCCAAGACTCAAACTGTGAAGTTGCCCAGGTGGGATCTAGCTGCCTTAACCGATATACCACCTGGCTGGCCCCAACTGCATTTCTTTACTACTTAGTAGTAATGAGTATCTTCTGATGTTTGTTGGCCATTTCTTCTTTGAAGAAATGTCTATTCAACTGGCATTTAAAGTATTTGATCACATAGAGGTAAAAGAACATGGGGGCTGGCAGATGACATGGTGGTTGAGGGCACTGAACTCCCACATGGCCAACTGTAGTTTGGATCTGGAGGCTTGGATCTGGAGGCTTGCTTTCTCACTCTCTCTCTCTCGCTTTGTCTCTCACTGGTCAAATTAAAATAAGTAAATAAAAAAAGTTAAATAAAATAATTCTTAAAAAGAAAAAGAATGTGATACCCACCAAAGAACCTACCACTCCACTTAAGGATGAGACCATTCCCAGTAGAGTGGATGCCTAGGTCTCCACCCCATCAGAGCCTGTGTGGCTGAGGGCCCTCTGTCCACCCTCCTAGGTCCAGGCTGGACCTGCCTGAGCCTCTAACAGGACCATGCTGCTTTCTCCTGGGTAAGCCTGCCTGACGTCCATGCCAGCGTACCAGGCCTTAACTGGAACAAATACTCCTTACTTTTTGGTTTTTAGAGAGATTTTTGCTATAGGCGACATGCACTTTTTGCGGGGGGGGGGGAACAGACAGACAGACAGAAGGTGAGAAATCAACCCTCCGAGAAGAATGGCCACGCTGCAATCCTTTCTCCTCCATTCTCCTCTTAGGATTTTGGGCATGCATGCACATGTGCTCAGCGTGAGTTTTAAGCTTCCGAGTCTGAGATTCGAACCGTAGTCGACTACATGGGAGTTCAGTGATGTAAACATTATGCCATCTGCTGGTCCCTTTTCCCAGTATTTCTTTCTTTCTATTTATTTATTTTTTTGGAGAGGGTTTTTGCTATAGGGCACATGTGCTCACCAGAAAGACAGACAGAAAGACAGAAAGTGAGAAATCACCCCTCAGGGGAGATGGCCATGCTGTGATCCCTTCTCCTCCATTCTCCTCTTGGGATCTTGGGCACGCACGCACACACGCCGGGCATGCGTTCATGCAACCGGGTCAAGGACTCGAACTGTAGTCAACTACATGGGAGTCCAGTGACACAGACATTATGTTAACCCCCCCAGTATTTCTTATAGAGGGGAAATGGGGTGAGTCAATGAGACGGTGGGGGGAGAAATGACAGGGTAGGGAAGAGAATGTTAGGCCAGTGGCAAAATTGCATGGGGGGGGGGTACGAGAGAGGCCACCCGGGCAGTGACATGATCATCTGGGACACCTGTCTATATGACAGTTCTTGAAAGATACATTGTTTCTCTGTTCCAGGTGAAGCTTGAGAGCAACTTTGCCTCGATTGTGTTTGCCATCATGGTGCTGGAGGGGCTTGGCCGCTCACTGGACCCCAAGCTGGACATCCTAGAGGCTGCGAAGCCCTTCCTGCTCACAGGACCAGTGTCCATGCCCTGACAGTGGCAGTGGGCGGGCAGCCGGCCTTGATCTCAGACCTGCGGGCTGCTCCTAGAAACCCCTCATGGTGCCTGGAGCCTCCTCAGACTGCACTGTGAGGAGCACACTGAGCCCTCGGGACTCAGCTTCCAGTTCTGCTGGAAGAGCTCTGGGTCATTTGGGGTGTGGAGGGACAGGAGTGTCCGTGTTCAGGGGTGAAAGCTGAGACGCCCTATTCAGGGAGTGTTCTGTGGAGAGGCCGAGTACACCGAGTTAGCGTGTTCTCCTGTTTTTCTCATTTCCTCCTACCTCAGCATTCCCTGTCAGGTGGGTCCTCCTGGTGGTTCCTACTGACACGTATATTAGAAAATGCCACAAAGTCCTGTAGGCCCAAGATTTCCAAGTTTTTGTTGATTATGTACCCTTCTTGGTAAAATAGTAAAAAGGTACACACACAACTACTCTGTAAATTTTTTTTTAGTTTATTTCCATGAGAGAGAAATAAGGCAGTGTGTGTGTGTGTGGGGGGGGTGGAGATAGGCTCCCCTAACTCTGCATCCAGCTAGGACTGTGGGTGCCTATGGGTCTATTTGGTACATTCAAGTAGACCCAGGGCTTGAACCTGGAGCCTCTCCATGTGGCCTCTACCATCATGCAGCAGTGCCCCTACTGCCGGTGCCACCATGGCTCACCAGAGGGAGAGGGAGAGGAAGCACCCCCCAATGGGCCATGTTTACTGTTCAATTCATTCTTCTTCCATTTGTCCATCCCATTAGGTTCCCCTTCCCCCCACTTTGCTACAAACCACATACATTTGCCAGTGAGAGAGAGAGAGAGAGAGAAAGAGAGAGAGAGAAGGAAAGTGAGAAATCACATACCCCCCCCCCCCGGGGCGGGGAGGGGAATGGCCACACTACAATCCCTGTTTCTCTATTCTCCTTTTGGGATTTTGGGCATACATGCACATGTGCCCGGTGTGATTTTCAAGCCGACTTCAACTGTGCAGTTAGCCATATGGGATCCAGCTGCCTTAATCACCATGCCACCTGGCTGGTCCCCCATTAAGATTTTGGGCACATATGCACTTGCACCTGGTCTTTTCTTTTTTTTTTTTTTTTTTTAAGTATCATTTACTTACTTTATTTATTCACTTATTTTAATTTGACCAGAGAGAGACACACACACAGAAAGAGACAGGAAAAGTGAGGCAAAGGGGAAAGCCACTAGGTCTGGGACTCAAACCATGGTCAGCCGTGGGAGTGTCCAGCACCTCACCCACACCACCTGCTCTTCCCCTGTACCTGGCTTGTCTTTCAAGCTGCTGGGGTGAGGGCTCAGCTCCCTAGGCACAGGGCCTGTTGCATCAAAGGGCTGGCCCTGTATATTTTATTTATTTATTTCTTCTATGAGAGAAATAGGTACCTCCAACAGGGCTCTATGCCATGCCCCACCCCCAGCATTTCTTTCCTTCTCCAGGATAAGATTCCTTATTTTTCTCTTTTAGTTGGACAGAGTCCTATTTTTCTTTTCTTTCTTTCTTTTTTTTTTTAAAAAGGTTTTGCCAAGGGGTACATTTGCTCACAGGAGAGAGACAGAGAGAGGGAAAGTGAGAAATGACCCACCAGGGGAGATGGCCACACTGCAATCCCTTTTCCATCCTCCTCTTGATACTGTGGGCATGCATGCATGCACATGTGCTAGGCATCAGTTTCAAGCTGCCGGGTCCAGGACTTGTACTTGGTCAGCCATGTGGGAATACAAATCTTTAACCACCACACCACCTGCTGGGCCTGGACAGAATCCTCTGGTGCATTTTTTCCCAAAGAGGTGCAGATCTCATGTTTACTTCCCAAGTCTCAAGGTGAGGGCACACCAGCCAAGCAGCAAGCAGCTGGGATGGGACGTGTCGGCCAGACATGTAGCCCCATGGGCCAAGTGCACATGTGCTTACACTGTGGGGATGAGGGTGGGGCACAAGCACAGAGCAGGTGCGTTCCCAAGCCTGTGCCTGTGCCATTGATCCTTTAAGGCCAGTGATCTAATCAATCCATCTGTGGCATTATTAGTTATCTTGTCGCTGCATACAAAGTATTGGCAAGTAAGCGCAGTGACTTAAAATTGCACTTACTGTCTCACAGTGTCTGTGGGTCACGGGTCTGGGTGCAGCTTAGCTGGGTTGTCTGGCTCAGGGTCTCCTAAGGCTGCAGTGTCTCAAAACTCAGACTGGGCTGGACCTATGCCAAGCTCGCTCGCGGGATTGTTGGCATAATTCTGCTCCCTGTGAGCTACTGGACCAAGGCCTCAGTTTCTCAGGAGCTATTACAGCAGCAAAGGAAATCAGACACAGTATGCCAAAGAGAAAAAAAATGGTTAACAGTTGGACTTTTTTCTTTTATTTTTTTCCCATGAATGAGAGCAATACCCCCAGTAGGATCCTGACATTGCACTCTACCTCCAGCTTTGGCCAGACCTGGGCCATGGGCATGTGCCCAGTGTATTCAAGGAGGTCTCCAGACATGAACCTGGAACTTTCCCATTTTGCAGAGTGTTGTTACCACTTGCTACTGTCCAGTCCCAGATGTACTATTTTTATTTTTTTAAGAATTAATTCCATTTGTTATTATTTTTTAATTTGACCAGACAGAGAGAGAGAGAGAGAGAGAGAGAGAGAGAGAAAGCGAAAGCAAGTCATCAGGTCCAGGGCTCCAACCATGGTTGGCCATGTGGTCCCCCCCCCCCCCCATGTACTTTAATATAGGTAGTCTGACTTTATAAATAAGTATCTTAGATTAAAATGGCATTCACTTTTAAAAAGTCATCTTCTTAAGGAGAAAAGGCTACTTCCTTGGGGATAAATGGAAGAAGTGGTAATACGGCATTTCTCCTGAAGGGAGATCACTACTCAGTCTCCTCTAAAATAAAAATACAAGGTTCATTCATGTGCTACTAAAATCACTGGAGGAAGAGTTCCTTATTCTCACGACTGAGGGAGACAGAGCTCAAGTGAGCCTTTAAGAGTAAGAACTAGGGGTAAAGAGAAAGAACTAGCTGGTGGTATGGTGGTTAAGGTGGCTAGATATGACATGGCCAACTGTGTGGTTCGAATCCCAGACCCGCTGACTAGAAAAACATGTGAAGCACATGTGCATGTGTGCCCCAAATCCCAATGTCCAGCACCTCACCCACACCACCTGCTCTTCCCCTGTACCTGGCTTGTCTTTCAAGCTGCTGGGGTGAGGGCTCAGCTCCCTAGGCACAGGGCCTGTTGCATCAAAGGGCTGGCCCTGTATATTTTATTTATTTATTTCTTCTATGAGAGAAATAGGTACCTCCAACAGGGCTCTATGCCATGCCCCACCCCCAGCATTTCTTTCCTTCTCCAGGATAAGATTCCTTATTTTTCTCTTTTAGTTGGACAGAGTCCTATTTTTCTTTTCTTTCTTTCTTTTTTTTTTTAAAAAGGTTTTGCCAAGGGGTACATTTGCTCACAGGAGAGAGACAGAGAGAGGGAAAGTGAGAAATGACCCACCAGGGGAGATGGCCACACTGCAATCCCTTTTCCATCCTCCTCTTGATACTGTGGGCATGCATGCATGCACATGTGCTAGGCATCAGTTTCAAGCTGCCGGGTCCAGGACTTGTACTTGGTCAGCCATGTGGGAATACAAATCTTTAACCACCACACCACCTGCTGGGCCTGGACAGAATCCTCTGGTGCATTTTTTCCCAAAGAGGTGCAGATCTCATGTTTACTTCCCAAGTCTCAAGGTGAGGGCACACCAGCCAAGCAGCAAGCAGCTGGGATGGGACGTGTCGGCCAGACATGTAGCCCCATGGGCCAAGTGCACATGTGCTTACACTGTGGGGATGAGGGTGGGGCACAAGCACAGAGCAGGTGCGTTCCCAAGCCTGTGCCTGTGCCATTGATCCTTTAAGGCCAGTGATCTAATCAATCCATCTGTGGCATTATTAGTTATCTTGTCGCTGCATACAAAGTATTGGCAAGTAAGCGCAGTGACTTAAAATTGCACTTACTGTCTCACAGTGTCTGTGGGTCACGGGTCTGGGTGCAGCTTAGCTGGGTTGTCTGGCTCAGGGTCTCCTAAGGCTGCAGTGTCTCAAAACTCAGACTGGGCTGGACCTATGCCAAGCTCGCTCGCGGGATTGTTGGCATAATTCTGCTCCCTGTGAGCTACTGGACCAAGGCCTCAGTTTCTCAGGAGCTATTACAGCAGCAAAGGAAATCAGACACAGTATGCCAAAGAGAAAAAAAATGGTTAACAGTTGGACTTTTTTCTTTTATTTTTTTCCCATGAATGAGAGCAATACCCCCAGTAGGATCCTGACATTGCACTCTACCTCCAGCTTTGGCCAGACCTGGGCCATGGGCATGTGCCCAGTGTATTCAAGGAGGTCTCCAGACATGAACCTGGAACTTTCCCATTTTGCAGAGTGTTGTTACCACTTGCTACTGTCCACGCCCCCCCCCCCCCATGTACTTTAATATAGGTAGTCTGACTTTATAAATAAGTATCTTAGATTAAAATGGCATTCACTTTTAAAAAGTCATCTTCTTAAGGAGAAAAGGCTACTTCCTTGGGGATAAATGGAAGAAGTGGTAATACGGCATTTCTCCTGAAGGGAGATCACTACTCAGTCTCCTCTAAAATAAAAATACAAGGTTCATTCATGTGCTACTAAAATCACTGGAGGAAGAGTTCCTTATTCTCACGACTGAGGGAGACAGAGCTCAAGTGAGCCTTTAAGAGTAAGAACTAGGGGTAAAGAGAAAGAACTAGCTGGTGGTATGGTGGTTAAGGTGGCTAGATATGACATGGCCAACTGTGTGGTTCGAATCCCAGACCCGCTGACTAGAAAAACATGTGAAGCACATGTGCATGTGTGCCCCAAATCCCAAAAGAATGGAGAAGGGATTGAGGTGTGGCTTGAGGTGTGGCATCCCCCTGATGAGTGCTTTCTCACTTTTCTTTTTTCTATTTCTCTCTGTAAGTGCACTGCCCTCTACCAAATTAAAAAAAAAAAAAAAAAGAGTAGGAATTAAATAAACATGAAGTTTTGTGAATAGTGTCCCCCACCCCCCTTGCTTGGTTTTCCATTTGCAGCTATGGACTAGCTTCTTAATTTGGGTTAGAGGTTGTTAGGTCACTTGAGAGTCTGTTTTCACAATCTGTCAGCTTTTGACTGGGAATGTAATTTGCATTTAGAAACTGAGTGCTTGTGCTAGGGATACACATCCCTTCTCTTACCTTCTGAAATGCATCCTTTCAGGTAAAACGCGCTTCCTAACCAAAAAAGGGGGCCATCGTGCTGTGCTGCCTTCAAAACACAGCAAAGGACATTTATCCTTGGCGATCTTAAAAGCATGTCTGGAAAATAAGTGTTTCATTGTTACATAGGCAAAATAGTTTACTGACTGAGACTGCAAACTTTTAATAGTCAAAACCTAAAATGTGTGATGTAAGACAGTAAAGCTAAGGATCCACAACTGGCCTATACAGATCAATACTTCTTTAAATCTAGAATACACTGAAGTAAAAACAAATGTTTTTTTTCTATTTTTCTTCTCTCTCTTTTTTTTTTTGAAATTCAGTAAGAAAGATAGGGTGAATGAATGAGTTGACCTGAATCATTTCACTACCAGGAAAAGAAGAAATAACAAAGGAATAAAAATTTCCTGAGTGCATGCTGCCAGCCAGATAGTATCTTTTTTTTAAAAAATACATCATGAATTTTATTTTCAAATTTTTATCATTAGGAGGAAAAAAATAAAGCTAAGCAGTCAAAAGAAGTACCAAAAACATGGTGGTAGTTCATATATATGCAGAAGATAAGAATAGCACAGACTCGTTTCAGGCTGATTCAATCCTATTTACACTCTTAAATACAAAATACATCTCAGTCGGTTAAGCTGATCATATTTACCACCAGAAAAAGACCTTCACTTTAGCATATGATCATGAACTCAATGTTCTGGAGCAGGAGAAGAGGTTTTATGAAATCTTTTTGTATTTATCACCATCAGTTAATAAAAAAATTAATGCTGAAAAGTGATTATCAATTCACAAATGGTACAAAGGGATGAAAGCTGTGAGCTGGCTCTACTTGATGTTGCAGACGACTCTCCTGCAGTGGTTTGTCTTCATTTTCTCTAACGCTTGTTCCAGCTGCTGAACCTAATGAAGCAGGGTGGCGGGGTCTATCTGCAGAACTTTGGTGGTGTTGTCCCCACTGTGGTTAAGGTGTAGCTTCATAGTCACCGATGGCTTACTCTGTTGCCTGAGACTTCTGCTTGCAAGCTGTACATCTAGTTGCCATTCAAGGCTGTGGTAACTAGGAAGGTCTGGTGCCAATTCACTCAGAATAGTTCTGATTTCCTTTCTGTTGTCCAGATAAAGCTGAAGCAACGATTTGTTTATTTCTTCAGAGAATCCCATAACAAAAACCAAGTCTTGGAAACACAGTTCCGAAATCATGAGTTTTGAGCTCTCAGTGAGGAGATATATTAATCCTTGCACACCTTACTCACATTGAGTTATCTTTTTTTTAAAATTTTTTATTATCATCATAATCTTCTTTATATTACATTGGATTACATATAACTTTACAGTGACATTGAGTTATCTTGCGGCACCTTCGTAGATCTTAGGGTTCGAGCCTCGCCTCAGGAACTCCATTGCAATCCACCCAAACTCCGGGACCACTGTGCTGTCCACTTGTGGTAAGAAGGCCAGGTGCTCCTTGTGCTCCTCAGACAGGTCCAACAGCATCTTTGCTGGGCGGCCTACTGCCCCACATAGTATCTTAAGTGACTCGCATTCAGATGAGGGGCAATGACACCCAGAGAGGTAAAGTGACTTAGCCAAATTAATCACTGACAGAGCTGAGGTCCAAACTCCAGATCTTTAGTGTCCCAAATTTCAGGCTCTTTTAAAAATTTAAGCTGTGCTTTTTCTGTTGCCTTGGAATCATATGTATCATTGTTCTTTGCTGGAGCAAGGCAGCTACCGAGCTCCCTGGGGGCGGGGGCGGACGGGACAGAAAGCTCTCTTCCTCTCAGTTCATGGATTTTCTATCCTAGTGGTTTGTACACATTACTAGAAAGGGTAACTGGTGAACGGTAGCCCAGAATTAATACTCTCTTGCATATTAATTGGGAAGTCATCATCTATCCAGTAAATAGTCGATGCTCTTCTTTAATTTCCACACTACTTAGAAGTCAGGAGGCAGAACAGGGGGAAGAGAGTCCTATAGGGTCAGAGGGCCAACCGGGGGGCTGTTTCAGAAAGGCACCAGGCAGCAATCAAGCTGATGTGGGCTCACTCCTGGGAGACAGCGAGTGGTTTCCTATTACAGTCAAAAGGCCTGTGGAGTCCCATATCTGGGCACCGAAGGAAGGATATGCCATATTCAATGCACTAAAATCCCTAAACTTAGAGCTCTACTTCTCTGTAAACACTCTTTTCCATACCTGTGGCTCTGAATGTGAAATATTCAGTATGAAACAGCACGGAACCAGATGAATTATTTCCAAGTGAAATCTTCAAGGTGCGAAGGTGGCAGGCTAAGTTTAATCAAACCTAGTTCTGGGACCAGCAGTTGGCATCATGGCTATGTCGCTGGACTCCCATGTAGTCCACTGTCATTTGAGTCCCCTACCTGGTGGCTTAAACTCATGCTGGGCGCATGTGCGTGCGAGCGTGCCCAAGATCCCAAGAGGAGAATGGAGGAGAAGTGATTGCCACGTGGCCATGGGGGTGGGGGTGACTTCTCCCTTTCTGTCTGTCTCTCTGGCAAACGCACGGGCCCTATAGCAAAAACCTCTTCAAAACCAAACCATAACAAAAAACAACCTAGTTCTGAGAAACACTCTAACCCATGAGGGGAGACCCTAAGAATTTGGGGGCTGGAGGAGTCCAAAGAAACTTTAAGTCCATCCAGAATCTAATAGAAGGTAATATTAAGAAAGAAAAATCAAGAATCCAAGCAGGTTAAGGATCAAAACATGAAAAGAATTCTTGACACAGATTCCTTGGTCCTACCCCATACTGGCATAGGGATTCTGATACTGCCTGTTCCATGCAGTGTTAATTTGGGAACTACTGGCTGCGATTTAGTAATTATATTCAAATCTGTACAACAATAAACCAATGAAGATTGAAAGATACCGTTGCGAGCCTTCTGGGGCCAGTACAGGGACAACGCTGGGAAGGACCACTGGTTCCGCGTGCTCTGGCAGCCAGGTAGGAGGGTCAGCGGAAACAGGAGGAGCGAGCTCGGACTACGCGCGAGTTTCCTAGTCCTGGCGTGAGGGATTTCTAGGGAGACGCGCTGAGCCGCGCCGGGCTGACACTAGGGCGCCTACATTGTCTGCGGGTCGGGCGGCAGGCTCCCGCCGCACGAAAAACGGAGGACCTGTAACCCGACCGGCCGCCCAGCCGCTGCCGGCCCTCGCTCTAACTCTGCAGGGGTGGGCGAGCGCATGACGTCAGTGGCGGGGCGCCTGGAAGTGACGTCGACGGGGCGGGGCGGCCCGGGGACGGCAATCGGACGCGGCTAGCAGGGCCGGG